TTCAATTAATTGTATATTATGAAAATAAATTTTTTTTTGAAAAAAAAATAAATAATTATCAAGTATAAAAGACAAGCTAGAAGCAGGAAATGTATTTATTCATTCTTGTCTTGTAGCAGTAATTATTGAATAAAATTTGTTTTTGGTAACAATAAGATAAATTAAACTGATAAAAAATTATAATAACAATATCTAAGACAAAAAACAAAGTACCAAGCTCAGTCAAATATTAGACAAAGATAAAACTCAAGGATTAAAATCCACTAAAAGAATTATTAGGCTTAGTAAAATGCACTTATCTCTACTAATAAGAAAATACTAAGTGAACTATTACTTATTATGTAATTATAGCCCCCCCCTCTCTGGGGCGAAATTAACTCCTAGAGTACCAGAGTTAGTAAATTGTCAGCCCAAATTTGAGGGGGTCTATAATTACGTAATAAGTGATAATTCTCTAATACCTAGAAATTTAAATATTAAAATTTTCCTAAGCACTACAGTCTGATTATTTATCTTCCTGTGGAATATTGTAAGAGTTCTCAATACTCTATTATTATTATTATTATTTTGTTTTATGTTATTTTTATAAGAATTAGTTATATATATAGTGTTAAACACAACAGAGATAGAACTTTAAAATAATAATTATATTAATTATCATCTTCTATAGACTTATTTGTTTTTGGCTACTTATATCACTAATAGCAAAAAGATCATATATGATATTCTATTAGAAATATTTTGTCATTTATAGTATTTAGATTATAAATACTATTAAAGCATTTATAATCTAAGTAATCTATATAACTTTTAGAATACTTAGTCTCTTTAATACATAAATACTATACTGAAACCTGTAATTACTTAGTATATAAAAAGTATAAAAGTGAAGCTCTTCTCATCTAAAATAAAGACAGAACTCAGTTAAGTAAAAATATTTTAAAAATATAATGGTAGAAGTTATTTTAGTAGTTTTATACTTATTTCTTTGTTATTTATAAAATGTTTTATTAAAATATACCCTAATTCTGTCATAATTATAAAACTCTTATTAAGTCTTAATCTTTAAAATTCGAGTAGAAGTATCAACTTTAAGTTCCTCTGATAATAATATAAATTCTTAAAGTAGAATTGTTGCTAAAACTTTGTCTTCAAAATATTAGGCTATACAAAATTAAATAATTGTTTCTTATAACATAGAATTCTAAAAGTGACCCACCCGCCCAGCTTTTAATTTTTAAATTATAAATTTTTTTTTTGTCTAGAAAATATTAAAATGTATATTAAAAACCCACTCGGAAGTATTTATAATAAATAGCTTATAAAATTTTGTATCGAAAATTTACAAAAGCTGACCTGACCAGGTTATAAGAAACAATTAATTAATTTTATATTGGCTTAAATTTTAATTTTTGCCCAAATTTAAAAAAGAGGGGGTGTACTAATTAGTAGTATTCCTCAGACCCAAACTGAAACCTCGAACCTGACCCGAACCTGCCTTTCAGGCCGGGTCGAACCATGATTTTTTGAACCCGACCAGGTTTGGGTCATGAGAGAGACCCAACTGATAGTACCCAGACCAACCCGGTTTATAAAAAAAAGTTTTTATAGCACAATCGCATGTTGATTACTTTACTATTTTTTTTTTTTTTTTTTTTTTTTTTTACACGAATTGGTATACTATATTACTGATTTTTATTGCCAAAGTATTTTTTTTTTTTTCCTATTACATTGCCTCTCATTTTTCATAAATAAAGACAATACACTATGTTAAGCTCAAGTGTGATGCTATGATGGCATTTATAAAGAAACTTACACCGAACTATATAGTGAACCTTATAATGAATTTTATAACAAACCTTACGACAAACCTCACGATGAACCTCACGATGAACTTTTTAATAACCAGGAGCTAGCAAATATGACTGGTTTAGATGAATTTGTGGATAATAAATCATTAACTTCAATTGAAACTAACGCAACTAATAAGTAATTTATTCAAAACTTAGTACTATGTTAACTTCATATTATATAGTAATACTAATGTATTTATTTTATATATCGTTTGTATGGAACCATTTTAAAAAAAAAAAAACATTAAAAATAAAAAAGAATTAATTGTATTGATGGCAGTATGTGATCATTATAGTAATGGTTTTAAAATTTGTAAGAATAGATCAACTTCAAGCTTTTGAAAACATCTCATTTGTTTACATAAAAACAAGGTACCAGAATTAAAAGAATCAAAT